CCCCAAAACCCCAAAACCCCAAAACCCCAACTGAAAGTTTTACAGTGGTATTAGGATAATTCATAAATATTAATAAAGCATTAGAAATTAGTATTCATTGCTATAATAAGTATTATTTTAAATTCAATGGGAAACTACTCTTGCACTTGTGATAATAGATCTGATGAAAATGGTTAAGTTACTAACACAGAAAATACCCCTAGAAATCATAGCAAGCCTGAAAAACTGCCAAGCATTAGTCATGCTGTAAAGTCATCCATTAAAAAAGTAAATAATGAAAGGAAGGATTTAAACAGCAAAATACTCGTTGAAAATAATAATAACAGCAATGGAGCACTTATACAATCTAATGATCCTGCCAAGCAGCTTATATAAGAAAAAAGGTAATAAATGCTAGAAAAAGGAGAAACTAAATTATTGATCTCTGAAAATGTGCTAAAGTAAAATATATTTGAAAGCCAGCAAAAGAATCAAAACTAGGAGAATGTGTAAGTTCAAGATTAAAAATAAAAAGGAAGAGATTTGGAAGAATCGAAAGGGGATAGATTATTGCAAAATTCTTAAAATCAATCCATTTAAAATCAATAATAACAAGCGAAAATCCAGACCAATGAACCTAAGACCTTGTATGATAAATTAGGAGGAGATGAAGGTTGCAAAATATTCGTTTCTAACACGATGAAGAAAGTCTTTGCAGACCCTTAATTCAATCAGTATTTCAAGAATATTAACTTGGATCTTCATAATGAGAAATTCACTTATTTCATCGGTTATTTAACTGGAGCTCATTAACATTGGATTGGATAAAGTCTTCATGAAGCTCATTCAAAATTCAAAATCAATGACAACTAATTCGATGGCTTCGTTAGTCATTGCGTTTAATCAATGAAAGAGATGAGAGTTAAGCAGGATTGCTTAAGAGAAATGGTTAAAGTGCTATAAAATTTAAGAGATCAATTTGTTAGCAAGCAAGAAGAGGAGCCTTAACGTACTTTACTTGACAAATTGGGTGGATAATAAAATGTTAAAATATTAGCTGAATCAACTATGAATAAAGTTCTTGAATGTACAAAATTAAAACCATATTTTGATAGCACTCCAATTAGTCTTCATTAAAAGAGATTAGCCTCTTACATCGTATCAATAATAGGAAGTAATGAGCAAGAATGGATTGGTAGATCCCTAAAATAATCTCACTAAGGAAAAGACATCAGTGAAGCACACTTTGATTTAATGATAAAATATATTGAAGAAGCTGCTAGAGAATTAAAAGGCATAAGTAATGATACTGTAGATGAATTCATGAAAGTTATAAAAGGATTAGAAAAGGACATTGTAGAAGAGAATAAGTCAATAACTCTATTAGAAAAAATTGATAATAATGATTTCTTCGAACCAGTAATGAACAGATTTGTAGATAAAATGATGAAAGATCACATACTTGGAAGATATTTTTAAAATATGAAGATGAAACATATGATCCCTAATAAAATAATGCTTTTTTTCGCTTATTCAAAAGGTATCATGAATCCTGATGATAAATAATCAATAAGAGCGATACATTAAGGATTGAAAATATCTCCTGAAGATTTTGAGAGATCAATCATATTTTTTAAGGAATCTCTCTATGAGTTTTGCATAGATCCAGCAATTGTTGAAGAAGCAGTTCAATTCTACAAAACTTTAAGAAAGGAGCTAGCATACTATCCAGAGGATCACATTGAAGAAATTAAAAGAGAAGGATAACAATATCAAGAATAAAGTAGGAGGGAGCAAAGTTTAATATAAGAAAAAATGAAAAGCGCAATTGAAGAGGAAAGTCATAAAAGACAAATGAATCAAATTCTAGATAATATAATACAGAATAATCCTGTTCCACACTCACAAAATCTGCCTTACAAAACTCTAGGAGGATTAAATGACAATGTAAAGAAAGACTCTGATAATAGAATTTCTTCGTTTAGACTTGAATCTGAAAATCCAAAAAATTAATCTGACATTTCTTCCTTTATTGTAAAGGGAGGCTCGCCAGTGGAGCATTTAAAATAGTTATAATTAAGCTAACCCAAATAAGATCTTGATGATGACCTTAAAGTTATAGAAGAGAAGAAAATTGAAGAGAGTATTGCTAAGCTTGATTTATAGTAAAGTAAAAATTAAGAATCTAAATATATCTCCCAGACAGAAAAAATTTAATCTTTAAAATTTGATGATATTGATTAAGAACCTGAGATATTTGAATAGAAAGAATAATTACCTTAAGAGATCGAAATAATTGAATAAGAGGAGAAATAATAAATTGTTTAAGCTGTTTAAGAATTTGAAAAATTAAAAACTGAGATTTAAGAAGATAAAAGTGTCATTATTGATGAAAAACGAAAATAATAGGGATATTAACAATAAACTAAGTTTAAGTACTTTTTCTATGATCTTTTGAGTGGGGAAACTGGAAGAACTCACGAGTAAAGAAGTGTTTTACAATCTCAAATTTTTCAAGGTGAACTCAACAGATTTATGGAGAAATAAAAATCTCAACTACCTAGATGGTTAGTTCTTAATAATAAAGCACTCTTTATTTATAAAGATGAATTAAACGCAAAAAGCTTTCCTTAAAAACCATTATACGCCATTCCCTTACCAGAAATAAGTTAGGTGAATTCAAAGGAAGTTCTTTTACACCCAAATCAAAGAAAAAATCAAGCGCTGCATTTTCTAGAAATAGAGCTTCGAGAAAAATATGGATAAATAGCACAATCTATAGCCTAATTATTTTCAGGCTCTTCTATAAAAATGAGTAATCCAAATGATAGAAATGACAGTCCTGTGAGGGAAAATAAAACAAAATATTGCTAAAAATAAAACATTTCTCATTAAAATCATTCATACGATGATTAAATGCTTTTCTTTGTTTCATAATCAAAGAAAAGTGTAAGTGATTGGCATAGAAGATTAAAGAACCTACTTAAATAAGAATGTAATTTTAATCAGGACTTGTTGGCAGAATCCTCTATAAGATAAAGCGATGTAAAAGACGAAAAATAAGATGAGTAGATACTCTTCAATCTTTAGTAAGAGCAGCCATAATACTAATAACCAGAGAGGTAAATATCTATCAAGTAGCAAACTCAATAATTAGTAGTTGAATAGGCAGATGAAGTTCCCAATCAAGAGCAAAAAGTTAAATCAGACGAAGTTAATTCAGAGAAAGAAGATATTCGTTCTTTAGGAGTTAATTAATAGGAAGAAGTCGACAGCTTTAAGGAAGATGATGATATGAAATCAGGCAATGAATAAAATGGACAGCAAATTTAAGAGTAAAATGAAGATATCTAAAAAGAAGAGATAAAAGAGGCAATAAATTAAAGTTCCAACAATCATAATAGTAACAATTAAGATGATGAGCAGAAAGTTTCGAGCTTTAAAAGAGCGATGACAGTAAAGCACACTAGTTAAAATAAAATCGAATAAATTGATGTACCTTTACCACAAAAGACTGTTAAAAAGCCTTTAAAATTTTCAATTGGTAAGCTCATTCATCAAGATACTGTAAAGGATGATCAGATATCCAAAAAACTTTATTATCGATTAGGTGGCCAAGTTATTATCGAATAATTAGTAGATGAAATGTTCAACAAGATTAATAAAGATTAGAAGCTTAAAATATTCTTCTAAAATAATAAAGATGATAAACAAGATTTTGAAAAGTTTATGACCTATATCACTGAAGGCTCTTCTATTTTCATCATGAATCCTCTAATAGTAATCAGTAAAAAAGAGATTGGATCTCAATTTAAGAAAATAGACTTTGATAAAATTGCTGGATGTTTAGTAACAACTCTATAGGGCTTGAGCATAAATCAGGACCTAATTAACGAACTTATCCAAATTTTACTTCCACAGAGAGAGCAGTTTAACGATTGAAAAAAAATAGTTAATTGCATATTAAATATTTACTTAAATGAAATATCACTAAAAATAAATTTCAAAAAGACTTTAATTTACTTTGATTTATCTTTGAGGGGTTTTGGGGTTTTGGGGTTTTGGGGTTTTGGGGAAGTAAAATTT